AGACCGCTACCCACCGGTCGAAGTGGAAGTCAATGGGGGAGGTCTATGTTCAGCAGTGGACATAAAGATGACGATGATAATTATTTTTTTCCATAAGTAAAATATTGTCCCTGAGATAAATATATATTTTATCGCATAAATGATTTTATTGTTTATAGTGAGGAATCTCGATCTGTTTATTTTATGGTTTGATATTAATATTGATGCAATTGTCATTCTATGTGTAAATTCAACTGTATATAGTAATTCTAGAAAGAAATATTTTGTAATATCTGTAATCATATTAATCAATAAATATTAATATAAAATTTTTATTCACACACAATATTTTATCTCTTTCTATCTAGATGGATTCTTACATCAATCTCAAATATTCTAAGCAATAAAGTTCTAAAAAACGTATGCCCATAACGCTTCTCATCGGTTTTTCTTGATGATTTCTCGTGTCGCAAAAAGGTTCAAAAAAAATTTATGGATACAATGCTACTGCTAAAATATAAATATAGATTTTAGAAGAATATATTTTTTTGCTTCCGGATGAAAAACCGGAAGCAAAAAAATAAACTGAAAGATTCTTAAAACTAATATAAATACTAAATGAAAATACTAATCCGTACGCTTGATTAATTCATCGATTTAGCGATGAATTTCTCTGAAGCTCAAACTAAAACTTACTGAAGCTCAATCTAAACTCAAACTTGCTATCTGATTGACCTTTCAATGCACGAGGTATAAAGCTATGACATCGAAATGTTTCATTACAGCCTTGTATATATAAAAGTAGATTAAAGGGGCAAAATTAAGCAACATTGTAAAAGCAGGATATAAATCCATATTGTCCACTGTGTAAATCTTTCTTGAGTTAAGAAATCCAATGTGAATATTTTAACAGATTCCACGATATCTTGCGTAACCGTTATAAATCTCGTCGCGAAATAACGGTGACACGTTAATATAAACACTATCGCTTTGTCGATTACGAAAGTACATCGGGCCGCCGAGATAAATAAGATACTAGACGGTGGTGATAATGATAAGAAATGATCGAAATATTGCAAGGAAAATAAAGTTATTTCAACAGACGAATGAAAATTTTTGACGAGAGGATAGGTTGCTATAGCTTAGTTACTGTTAATGTTAACTAAAAAATGACAGAATCGAATGTACATAATCATACTATAAATCAAACGATTATTTAAAAATCAAAGAATAATCATCATATAAAAGAAAATTTTATGTATACTACGTTTTAAGTACTCTACGAAACGAAACAGGCCCGATGATTTTTTCACACTAAACTTAATCAGTTTTCTGTCAAGACGTATTCGACACGTTTAATATTTAGGGCAGTACGTGCATCGTAGGTAATCCGGTGTGCATTTTCATGTGATGCAAACAAGGCGGTATAAAAGGCTGCGTCTAGTCGAGCGGGGCAACGTCGAATAATCCGACTCTCAATTAGTGGCATCAAGAAAGACGTTACGCTCTTCTTACCAAGCGCACGTACCTAGCAATCATAGCATACGAACTATATGCAGTAGATGCACAAGAGCTAGGTAAACTCGTGACAAATATCCTTGACGCAATGAGCCGGCCATTCTATACTCATGCACTAAGGAGGCATTGTGCCTCTCGGACAAAAGCGTCCGCTCTGCGAGGTGGAATCTAGTGAGCCAAGTTCGAAACGGAACTCTTAAAACTTTAATGGTATTTCCTTCGCATTTCTTCGACATCGGGGGATATAATTAAAAAAGTTCTGTAGACGCATATGAAAGTCCGTGTGTTTTCCAATATAATATCCAGCAACTATATCATTATCAATGGAACGATTATTTACGAGCGTTTTGAGGTTTTATTAAAAATTAATATCAATAAATGAATACTTACGACACTAAATAAGTTTTCTACAAAAATCATCTAAAATATTTAATACTTAAGTTTCTAATCTCGTAAAAATTGAGTAGTAGAGCTGCATTGATATCCCTCAGCTATAAAATATTTTTGAGAATTCAGTAACGAGTCAAACAGTATGACAGTATGTGACCTCTCTACATGTTCACCGTTCTTTCAAAACACGTTCACCGCACTTTTAAACATTCTAAAATCACAAAGTGTATCCGAGAGGAACATGGAAAGGAAAATCTAAATAGTGTTTTACATTTAAGAAAAAGTTTTTGTTGAATGATTATCATCGATGACTGTAAATTTGAAACATAAATGACAACTGATGCATATTTAATATTATATTAACAAAAGCTGTTTGTTCAGTGTCATTGAACCGGCGTTAAGTATTATGGCGGCTATAGCGCGTCAGATCATTTTACTTGTGGGAAAAAAACCAAGGGACGACGATCTCAATAGACCACTTATGACTGATATTGGTTACTTGTTATGTCCAACGCGTCCTTCTGTTCTTTAAATAATCATTGCGTTCGTTAACGTAAACAACGCGACCAATTGTGAGCGACGCACGTGAGTCAGACATTAAAAAATTGCGTTCAATTTTCGCGGACAAAGCGTTCGGCCGCACTGAATCTTGTTATTACAGTTTATGTGGTGATTATTTAGTTTATTAAAACAAAACTACAAAATTATGTTAAAAATTATCTAACCTAATTAATACTAAATAGGTGATAAAATTAATACAATATAACTATAGTAGAAATAAATTTAATTAAAACAAAAAAAAACTAGACTTTGTTTTGTTACTACTGGGGTATTTAGCGGGACGTTCTCCATGTTTGCCGATAGGGATTGGCGGTTTTGGCTCAGGATCGATTGTCTAATGAGTCATAGCCAACACGAGACTGCACTCGGCGTTCTCAGCCCCCGTTGATGGATGACAAATCGCTATTAGATCCCACACAGGCGCGTTTTTACCGTCTCCCCGAACTGCCTGGAATGTGATATTTCCCCTTCGTATTTTGTCACGGATTTTTTTAATGCGGTCCGCTCGGAATTTGCCTAAACCGCTTTTTTATATTAGTTTCATCATTAACATAAAATTTTTGGCACTTTAGTGAGTGAGCACTTATTCGGAATCTTTGTCATTCATTACATACTTGAACATGTTGTAACGTTGTTAATAAGCATTTTCTTATGGAACAGAATCCTATCTCAATATTAATTGCTGGTAACAAGATATCTATTCCTTTCGTAACGTAAGTTATAAATAGGTATTTTAAACTATTGAAATATTTATAGTAAATGATAATTAGTGTTAAAAATACGATATTTTTATCTTCCCATAATAACAGAATAATAAATCAACTAATTTAGGAAGAAAATAATAACATTTTATAATATATGCATAGGTTTGCATACACTACATTTTATACATAATGCACGAATATGATTTTAGAAATGAACAAATGCATGCTACAGCTGATATGTCGCGCCCTTGAACCCGACAGTACAAACGTATCATACGAGAACAATGGAACAAACACAAAAGCTTGGCTCATAAGGGAATCATCTTTCTTAGTCATAAAAATGAGAGTTATTAAAGTACATTTAATACAGTAGTTAAGCTCCCTTTCAATTATCTTCTGTGATACAAGTTTCGGATTCAGCACCATAATAAAACAGGTGCACAACATTGTTTATATAATCACTATTACTGTTTAAAAAGTTAATACGGAACCGTGTCATAGATAAAATGTCTTTATAGACAAATTTTACATACGAAAACATCGCTACAAAAAAAAAGCTCACACCTTACTTATTAGACTTAAGGTCGAAAAATACTTCAGCCCGTCCCGTAACCTTGTCAAGTGTCGAAAGTGTTCGAGTGTTTGAATACAAAATTGAGCGCGATAAAATCCGTGACAAAAAGTTTCATCTAACAATTCGAACTATTTGACTAAAATCAAAAACATCAGCGCAATTTGAATTTGGAAATGGGGATTCTTTAAACACAATCCAATTATTGAAGCCCGACATATCGCTGAACGAACATTATGAATCGATCAATTTCGCTTCCGCGTCGCGATGTATTTTCCCCTTTGCCCAAGCAAGGATTGAAAACCATTTTAGATTTTTAGGTAAATTACGTTGCTGTTGACGCTAATGCATGTTTTCCAGTAACAGCGACAAATAGCTCCTAATACTTTGCAGTCGTGCAATTTGCAACCGCATTTTACAATTTCTGCGAACACGGGCGTTAAGAGATCTCTAGTGTGGTCGTTAGTGTGATGGTGTTGTCGCATGTTGTTTTTTTATTGGTATAAAGCTTTATTCATGTTAAAATTGTTTTACTCGGTACCTACAAACATTTTTAAGTTGAGAAGTCTACCAAATGATTTGGAAAATATTTATTTAAATGTTATGTCAGCATTTGAGCTAGAAATCTATTTTTAAATTTCTACAACTCTCACTTCCCTTGAAATTGTTTAGAAAACCTCTAAAACATTAGTAAAGGATTTCAAAAACACTTTAAAACTTTCAAAAAGTTAGAGTAAAGTTTTTCAACTACATTATATTTTAATGTAAAAATCATATAAGGATACATTGAAATCTTTTGGATTAGCATCTTTGTAAGCGAGTACAGAGCAATGCTTACATTCACAAATAGAATTTAGGTAACCGTTTAAGTTTTCGCATATAGCGGGTAAATTTCTTACTGTAAAAACAAAAAATATCGTATAACTCGTATATCTACATACTAAACAGTTTTACTGTTAACAAATTCTTAATAGATATTATACAAAAGTCTTTGAATATAATTATTGAATCTAGAAAAAAATATGACTTAAAGGTCTAATATTAAAATTTGGTCGGTACGACATTCATCAATATTTTTTGTAATGTCAAAAATATAGTTATATAGTATAAGAATATATCTCTCATCATTTTATAATCTAGAACTAAATTTGTACATCATTTCTTATATTCTTGAATCCGCAACCTGCTAACATAAGAGGTTTTTCCTGTAGGCGGTTCACCTGAATTGCCAAGGTTACCTCACTTACCAAGTGAAATGATATCGTACGTTAGCTACAATGGAATCGCTTAAGGCGGTCGCTTGCACCGCGCCGAGACGCAATGAGAACAATGCACCCGCCGCAATGCCACTCGCAAGGACTTTCTTTCCTACATTGGACACGGATGTAACGCAAAGTGAGCGTAATTTGTTGTTCTCGATCCGCTTAGACCGCAGTGGGGTCCATTCTACTTGCGCTGCGGATGGTGGGAAGATCTGAGGTCGTTTAATAATAATAATATATTTTGTTCCTCTTCAAAATACAAGACAAGACGATACAATGTCATTGTTGGTCCAGCTTCGGTAAAAAATTTAATCAAGTGATTGTGCGGAGCTGGTGTCTAATATAGGTGTAAACCTGTATTACAGATCATCGTTTAATTTAGGGCAACGTAAGGTATATAGCTACGTTTTTCTAAACTTGCACCGATTTAAAATTTGTCGATTTTATGCATGAAAATTTAATGAAAAATGATTTCTATGTCAAAATTAACATGCTACTATAATACATATTCAGCTATTATAAACTGTACCCCACCGTTGAATTACCAATCATTGAAAAAGTAAACGCACACATTAACACGTGAACTAAACGTCGATAAAGCTTTAATTCGCACCGAAGAATTTCAGGAATTTAGTTAGTGTAGGCGTTACAAACTTCCCTCGGCGTACAAGTATGGAATTCAATAAAAGGGCCGGGAACGGAAAGCGTGTTTTCTACTCTCCGAAGTGAGAATTATACGTTCCAAAAAAATAAAGGAGAAACTACAACATCGCGTAAAGGCGAAGATCTCCCCGCTGTAACTTTTATTCGAGGAGGAGCGAATTACTTACGAGTACGACCGACAAGAGGAAAACAAACTACAAAAAACGGCATAACGTGTTTTGTTCGCCACTATCTACATTTATTCTTTCTTTTTTTTCTTCTTTAGGGCTGCATAAATGCCTATAACCGATACGTATACAAATTGCTTTTTGTTCTCTTTCTCTTAACAGCGAACTCTTCAATCTTTTCCATTGCTGTCGAGCCATTTTTATGGTTAAGAAAATGATAAACTCTCGATATTTTTAAATATATTTTACGTTCGTACAATATTTACTGCAGACTTTAATAGTCCTATTAACTTGGTTTACTCAATTAAATTGGTTTTCATGACAAATATTTAACATCTTGATACCATTAAAAAGCTAATTAACAAGCTGATTTTAGCGATACGCTTGCTTTGAGTACATACTGTTATAGGTACGTGCTAATTAAGTAAAAAAAATAATTAAGTTACATATAGCAAATGTACCTAACTTTAGTTTAAAAAAACTTGCAGTATTCGCGATTCAATCGACTGATTTTTTTTCGTATAAATTTCTTTCCCCGCCGTCCTTCCTAAACTCAAACTGTAATCTTGACGTACATTCGCGCCATTGTTCTTTGAGGATCCCCCCGGCGGGAACGCGGAAACGGATCGGAAAGGGAAAAAGGGGACCTCGCAAAAACTGATAACTCGAATTAAACAGTCGGAGGTGTCGGGAAAAATCCATCAGTGAGCACGGTTTGAGCGATAACTTCGCGCCTCCTCACCTCCCATCGGGTCCCCGCGTCATTGCGCGGAATAAATCGTAATTTGATAGCGCCCTCTAACGACGCGCGCCGTAGTCGCCGTATCGAAGTCATTTAATGATTCGTGCGGAGCCTTTTTGTACGTCGAATAAAATCTACTGAAATTATGGATCTGAAATTATTACTATCAATATTTAACAACATTCGTACTATTGAAAATCTGTTTACAAGTATATAGAATTGTGCATTTTGTGCAGAAAATCCCTTTTTGAAAATTTACTAAACTTCAAATAGTCGACGCTCGGTTTCGCGTCCTTTAAACACAAAAAGTAATATGTAGAACTGGAAAATTTTCTATAAATAAATACATAATATATTAAATCACATTGGTATTTTTTGAATTTCGCTGGAATTACAATCTCTAGTTTCGATGCTGGGGTTAGATTATATGCATTAATATTAAAAAATTAACGTAGCGTATATATGTCCCAATGTTTTGCAGTCTGCTCTGTACAGAGGATATCAGGACATAGTCCACATGCCTTCACATAGCTTCGAAATAATTTTATTATTAATATTTAATATATTTTTATTGCTATTATTTCGAAAATTGTTTTCCTCACGAAGTCTGAGTCGAGTCAGCACTGAAAATTAACAATTTCATTGGTGCCGGCACCGGGATTTTAACTCAGGTTGTCGAGCAACAAGAAAAAATCGAACGCGCGGACACCGAGCTCTCACGACATTTTATTAAGTTCCACAAAATTAATCAATTATCTGTTGTAAAAAAATAATAAACAAAATATTTATCTTAAATAACTTTTGACAGCTAGGGATTAGAAGACCCATGTGACATGCGACAATGAATTGCCCAATTTGAGATTTCTGTGGTGCAAAAAATGCTATCTTACTTCTTGCACAACGTATGGCACAATTTTCGCCTTTTTTGGGGGACTGTTCACCCATGGCCTGGAGGAGGCCTTTACAGATCCACCGGGCTTGAGGTGGCCGGGCGCTGAGAGCGCCTGTTCTGTACCTAGATTATAGGTGACTAAGTCGGAGGGCTCCCGAGGGAGCCTCGGCTTGGATCGTCACATTATTATTATTAGTACCCGTTTGGATGGCCGCCAAGCTTCGGTCGCTTTGGCGGTTGCTCCATGAAATAAGGGTAAGGGTAAGGTAATAGGTACAAGAAAGAGGTAGAGCCCAGGAGAGGGGACCTCGGCTTGGCCTGTTACAAAATACCCGTTTAGCGTTCCGTTTCGAGGGTGCGCTACAGGAGCGCACCCTCGAAATCGCACCACAGCTCAATCGGTAGCTGTAATCTGACTAGGAGAATTTCTAAAGCTAGTAACGGTTACTACCATTTCGGAAAGCGTTGGCGGTGGGAGAAGAAGTGGCGGAAGAAACCAGCAACGCTTCTATCATTAAGGGGGGAAAACCTGCCGGTAACATGGCGGAACCTATACTAGGTTCCGCCACGTTACCGGCAGATTTTGTTATGTTAGCCGCAATGCCGGTGTGTCTTGTGTTTACGCAGTTGTTTTATCCTGTTGAGGGCGATAGTTCTCTCATCATCGTCAGGGGAATCGAAGACGTGTCGTGGTCTATCCCATTTGCGTCGGAACGTACCTAGCGGTAAGGGTCTGTAGGTGACAGCTCCTGCGACTAACGGATTGGCAATTTTCATCTGTAAATTATCGAACTAAATACGAGTATTGGTGAAACAGCGACAGCTTAGTTGTCTCTATCTATCACATATACAATAAATGTAGTACTATAAACATATTTTCTAATTGCGCGCGTTATTATTTAAAAAAAAAACATCAAAAAATTAAATTGCAAAAATATTTTACACCCCAGTTACCTCTTTCTTATCAACACGTATGACTACGATACGATACCACCCTCTAGCGTTAGTAATTGAATGAGGGTTATTGAGTCCTTCATTTCAGTATTAAAATTATTATAGCAATCTATGAGTAATATTTTCAAGCAATATGTTATCCCCAAGAAATTCTAAATCAAAACATCTCTATTATCGTTTCTTTACTCTCCTCGATTAATTGAACAATTAAGCTATTTAAATTTCCCTGAGACGAACTGTGAAATATATTTGGCGTGATATAAATCTGTATTTAATAAGCTAACAATGTCAAGAAGTATTCAAATCTTTGCATTTCGCTTCCTGCATAACGTTTCTGAGAAACATCCATTCATTCATTCGATAAAAATACCAAAGTTGTGATAATTATAAATTGTTGCTGTTAAAAAAGTTAGCATCAAAGAAGCTCAGGACTTTTTTATTTTTGCAAAGTACAGAAATAGCTACATCTTTTCAACTGAGAAAATAAGTTGTGTCACTTGGGCATGTAAAGGGGTGGAGTAGGTGTATCTTAGAAAAGAGAGTGTCGTATTGTCTGACGTTATGTTCAAGAAACCGGAGCTATGTGTACCTATGAACATATAAGATCCGAAATGTTAAAATATAAGAAAATTATTTACTTTACTTCGAATATAATATTTCGCTAATATCCCTAATGTTGTTTAGTTATTAATAGGTTGCGAAACTTTCAAGCCAAGCCACTGACTAAGCCTTGAATATTAATGTAATAAAATAAGTTTTAATAAATCATTTCCTAGTTTTGGAAGGTTTTCTTAAGAAAAAAAATATTTTTAACTATTTCGTAAAGAAATGAATAAAGATAATAAATAGTGTTCATCAGCCCAGAAACTGTCTAGTTAATTAAAGTTGTGATACATCTGCTTGTGATATGCTTTTGAAGCATCAAAATATTAAGGGGAGCCGAGAAGGAGACTGAAAGAGCCTTGCCCGAGCTTTAATCAATTTAATACATATCAACGAAGAATATTACTTTAACAAAGACAAATATATTTCCTACAATTTTTATAACAAAACACTACAATGAAGTAGAGAGTTTAATTGAATGTAACATGAAAGGGTTTTATATGCATTAAAACTATACGAAAAAAGCGAGCCTATATGGAATTAGTTATCGAAGTGTTATATCTATAACTCTTATCTAAGATTTAATCAGTCTTATCGTGGTTCATAATTTTTACGAACCAGAATGTCTTTCAAATAAATTTTTAGTGTTCTTTAAAGCTCTTTTGACTTTGGCTACAAAGAGTTTTTTCGAAGGCCGGGACAAATAAAACTGTATAACGATACACTTACTCGTATGATACTATGGTAACAGGCTTAATCCGACTTAACGAGCTCCAAGAAAGTTGAACGGCGGTACGTATATGCCTTCAGATCGTGATGCAAAATGATACTTTTCCACACAGGAGACATGACCGTGATACCTAAAATAGCATGTATCTTACACGGTATCAAGAACGAATCCGTCTCGAATTTTCCAAGGCAAAATATCTTTGTATTCGTATTTTTGTTGTTCAAATGCTGAAACAAATAATCACAGATAGCATTTTAATCTGTGGGTTATAAAACGGCTTGCTTTCATAGAATCACTCGGGGCTAAATACACTTAACTCAATGTATCGATGGGGCACCTCTCGCCGCGACGGATGACTGCTAGGTGCAGCTTTATTCAGCCCTAATAGCCCCTATTGTGCTAGGTACAATATGAAATATGTCTTAAGTTCAAAGATAGAACATTCTTACAACTCAAAAGCCT